GCGAGCTTTTTTGCGTATCTCCCTCTTTACTTCTGGAAACAAGTTGCTTTCGAGACCAATGCATACGCAAGCGCCAACCAGATTTTCATCGGCGAACCGTTCAAGTTACAAGAATTGATGACCTTTTTGGGAATACTGTTCTATATGGAAGTTACAGTTAAGGGGGAAAATGCGAATTACTGGGGTCGCCAGGCAGAAGAAGACATATTTGGAGGTACTAGTATTGACTTGGAGCATGTGATGCCGCTCAAGCGGTTTAAGCTTCTTCGGCAATCGTTTTTGTTTCGAAGTGGTGTCTCAGTGGAGGACACAATGCGAGGCCCTGCTGCCCGCATTCGCACATTGCTGAATGTTATGAAAGTTACTGGCGGGAAGTATTTTGAGCTTGGTCGTAATGTTGCTTTGGATGAAGCGAGCGTTGTCTGTAGAAGTCGATTCGGACGCCACCTTATCGTTTACAACCCACGTAAACCCGGTGGAAAGTACCACTTCAAGTTGTACATGATGTGCTGCGCAACGTCATGGGTCGCTGTGAATTTCAGACTACACTACGAAAGGATTCTCGAAGATCGTTTGCAAGGCGTGGTAAATGTCCCCGACTGAAGCTCTCCGCGAAGAGCTTTCACATGGAGCTGCAATCCGCCAGAACGTTCTTGAAGTTGTTCGACCAATCTACGATTCTAAATGGATTGTACATACTGACAATTATTACACGTCAGCACAGCTCCTGCAAGCTTTAAAGCTCAAAGGGCTATTTGGTCGTGGTACAGTACGGGGCTCAAGCAAGCATTTTCCTAAGCACGTTATGCTGGAAAAGGGTGATTGTACAAGAGGGGAGTACCGCCAAGGGGTTTCCATTGACCACAATATGCTTGGGGCTTCGTGGTGCGACGAAAGTATTGTTAGCATAGTCTCAAATGCGGATGCGTCCGAGTCAAACACTGTCCAACGTCGCGTGTCCAACGAGCATCAACAATTCGAGGCACCGGATTGTGTGAAGAACTATAACACCCACATGCAGGGTGCTGACCGGCTAGACCAGCTCGGTGCACGCTTCTCTATTGCCGACGGCCACTCGTTTAAAAAATGGCACAAGAAGCTCGCTATGGCTTTAGTTGATGTTGCTCGATGTAACGCGTACCTTACCCGCCGAATGGTGTATACCCCAGTAAATACCCGGGACCCTCACCGTTCTTTCATGCTGGAATTGTCTTCTGAATTGATTTCCGGGAAGTGGTCCAACGCACCGAGCGAAGGTAAGATTTTATACTCAAGCCGCAACATGGCTACGTTAGAATCACAGGTACCGGCTCCAATTAGTCCCGCTTACACTGTTAGCACTTCATTCGAGAGCCCAAAGAAGACGTGCTCTGCAGCTGCATCAAAACAGTTTTACGATGGAAAAAACCGCAAGCGTCGCCAGTGTATTGTGTGCAGATGGGAAGAAAGATATCCCACTGAAGTCACGGACTACTGCGTCATCCATGGTGTGTGTGTGCCTTTGCAAGGCATATTTTGATTCACTACCCGCTCCATACATGTGTCCCCAAGCCACGTGGACGTGTTGGGAAAAATACCATCAGTACTACGCACACAAAAATTTGTTTTCGAGTAAGGGGAAGCTACGCAAGACGTCTCAGCTATTCAAGCTAAAAGCAAGTATAAATCAGGTGGGTGAGATCTACGGTAATGACAATCGATCGGTAGTCAGACAAGTTATTCTTTAGCGGGTTGAACACGCTGCCTAAGTTATATGTTGATTTGTATTTCTGTATCCGGTCTCTCCAGTGTTCGTGACTGTGATGATTTCACAAAATGTCAAAGATAGTAGTTGAATATTCTACTACACTCAGTCAATCTCTTGCCAATCAAACGCGAGTTGCCAGACGTACATAAAGATAGATACCGAGTACTATAGATCTGTCGAGTTACTGAGAACTTAACTGCCGAAGATCTCTTTCACAGTTATATGCATCGACACTTGAATCATTTCCACGATCTGCTTAAACCACTTCCGTACCGATAAGCGCTATAGTCTTAGAGTCGTCGGTGGCGTCATATACGCGTAGAATCCCTGTCATGATGACTTCTCCTTTGATACCCAGCGTAGCGTGTGGATTAGCTAACAAAGCTAGCACCCAGATGCGAAGCTCACTCTAAGCTCACTCTGAAATAACGTACATGCTAACGCTGTCAGCAGTAGCTCCCTTCATCTGCACAGTGGCAATAAACGTGTAAATAACTCAAATAAAGTAAGCAAAACTGCATGTGTCTGTTGTATGATGCATCCAAATGATTGTTTCAGTTGACCAGTGTAATTAATTTGATTAAACTATAGATATTTTACACTTGCATAATGTATTGGCACATTATCCCTTTGGTCTTACCAAACGCAGTCATGATCACCGATTTCTCCAACGAAGCCGATAAGCTCTTAATGCAGTACGCCTTCAAATATGCGCAGCAAAACCGACGCGTCGTGTAGGCCGATCTTGCGCGAAAGATGCAACGGCGTTTGCGAGTCTCCAAGAGCCCGAAGACGCTAGAAACTCGACTTCGAACACTAAAGCGCGCTTACGGCAACGACCTATCTCGTTTTCCTCCATGTTTTTTTAAAGTGACAATGGCTCGTTCACACTCCACTAACTACGAGAAGTCTCGGACGGCAAGTTACCCCGTGTTAGACTTTCAAGCTACTGTACGTCTACTTCAGTCGGTATTTGGATCGGTCACAAAAGCCTAAAATCAAGAAGGTCCCGCGTGCTCGCCCTTCTGGATACCAAAAGCCTCGCTGGATTTGCAGAACCTATAGCTACGCTCGTGCTCATGGCATTCAAAACGCGTTTGAACACATGCTTGTAATAAGGTGTCGAATTTTCTGTACTAATCCTGTCCTAACTGTCCTACAAAATCCTAAAATACGTCGTAAATTACTGGAATAGATTGCAAAATGTATCCTAAAAAGGTTCTAAATCCGGGAAAACATTGCAATCCTAATACTGTCCAAAATTAAAAAACGGTATTTTTGTCGGAAATTTAGGACATATCCTAAAACCTATTTTGAGTCGAACTTGGGATTGAGGTTTTTAAAAAGTTAACGGGAACCAATCATGCAGAAACACATAGCTGTTTTAATTTTTATTGTCACTTGACAGCTTTGTCCATGGAGCACAAGAACTACCGCTTCTGCAAGAAGCGCACCGTCCCGGAGACAGGAACAACCTATTTCAGCTGCGTGAAGTTCCGGACTGGGTGTCCAGCACGTCTTGTAGTCAAGAAGGGGGGCACTATCATCGAAAAAAATATTCACCGCTGCGACCAAGAAATTTTAGAAGAAGTCGCAGACGTACGCCACGACATGTCTTTGGAGCTGCAAGATCGCGCCATTAAAGACTTCGCTGTTGCACCTGGTGTTCTGTGGCAGCGCGTCTTTGATAGTTTCCGTACCAAGCATCACCCGTCAACTATCTACGGTATTGCGCGTCCGAGTGGTGTTACGATCATCAAAACCGTACGCCAAGGTGCCACCGGTGGCGACATTTTCCGTGCAATTGAGGCTGCACCGGTGCGAAGCATTAGCGACTCAGACCCGCGCCCGTTCCTACAATTCAGCATGGCTCGCCCCACCACCGCCGGCATACAGCGTATGCTCTGCTTTGGGCATCCGGACTTACTGCGAATTCTACGTACCCTCAGCTGACCCTTTTTATTGATGGTACCTTTTCGGTGGTGCCAAAAGGTTTCTCGCAGTGCCTGATTGCTATGGTCTACGATCCTAGTGTCGACATATACGTGCCACTACTCTACGTACTCGTCAATTCGAAAAGCCAAGAAACGTATTGGCGAGTACTAGAGCAGCTCATCATGGCGTCCGACCGCCAGCTGGAGCCTCGTGATGTTACCTGTGACTTTGAGCTTGCGCTCATTAACGCTGTGATTGAGCAGTTCCCTGCAGCCAACATTGTTGGCTGCCTCTTCCACTGGAAGCAGGCTCTACGTAGGAAGATGATAGAACTGAAGATTCCCAAGGAACAGATCGCAGACGCCATGAAGTCGGGAAATTGGACGTGCTTACTGTCATTCCTGCCGAAGAAGTGCTGGACAAGGTACGTAATTTTTGTATTTTACTTACGGAAAATATTACTAAAATAAAATTAATTTTTTTGGCAGGGACTACGGTATGTTCGAAGCATCATCGATGTGACCGCAGCAAAGACTAAATGGAACGCTTTCTGGAAGTATTTTGTGCGAACGTGGACAAAGAGGTTCGACACGTCGCTGTGGAACGTGAGCCAGATGCGGCGCAACAATGTGAGCATGATAAATCGGACTAATAACCCGCTGGAGAAGTACAATCGCGATTTTGCTGCTCGCATTGGTGCGCCACATCCAAGTATTCTCGTCTTCATTGAAGCTGCAAAGGCAGAGGCACATTCCTACATAAAACTACTGGACGACATCAAGCATGGTCGACAGAGCGCTCCTGCTCATGCGCGGTCTGTGGACGCTGAAGGCCCCGGGGAATACATGGCGTTTGAGTAGCATTCTGCATTCTGTAAGCCATAAGATATCTCTCGTTGGCATGGGTAGTGTAGCCTTACAACTTTCGTATTTGTCCTAACTGTCCTAACTGTCCTAACTGTTCTAACGATCCTATAACCCATGCCGAAGTTTTGTGCCAATACCGTAATTTATGACAGTAGGTATTAGGACAAGTTAGGACGTTTAGGACGCTTTTAGTACGGAAAAACTTCTTCCGCTTGTACAGCCATACGTAGCTAAAGCGCGTAGCGTTGTCGCCCTTCTTCACATTCCAGTCGGTCTGCTCAAATATTGGTATCGTAAGAAATATATCAGCACTATCCAGTGACGAACTATCCTGAATAATAATTGCCAATCCCAACTCCTACCTCTCTCAGTTGAAGACCGAATAATAGTCGATCTGTATGTCAACCTAATACAATGTACTTATAACGATTCATTTTAAATGGCCAACAGTTGATGTAGTCGCGCTCGAATTCTTTTAAGGTAGCAGTCTCGTCCATCCTATCCGCACCGTGGCAGGCTTTGCATGAAAATCTAGCAAAACGAGCATTTTAGCATGCATCAACACGAGATCGTAACAAAATTCTCACCAAAGCGTTGCCGACAAGTGTTTCCGCATCAATACTGAACGAGCTGTCACGCAATTTGGCTGCAAGTAGCATTTCATCCAGGTCGACTTCGTCATAGCGCTAGATTTTAACCGTATAGTAGCTAAATTAGCAAAATGCGTACCACTTAGAAGCACGAAGGCACCTCGGATACAATTACTGCTTGCAAGAATTAGTGCTCAATATAAATGTCGTACCTAAGCACAATTAAGCGCCAACACCCTTACATACAAGTGATCGCACAGAAGGGCTGACGGAAAAACTGGCTTGGCGCTCGAGGATACGGTGCTTGTATGGCACTTGGTGCTAATGGTGAGAGTATTGCATTTGTTCTCACACTCTTCATCTATCGAAGTGCAAAAAACCACGCCACAACACAGAGCACTGCATTAGTACTATTAGATACCGGCACGTCGCACAAAACAACTCACATGCGCGTCCTAAGGACACCAAGACGCTCTCGCACTACTAAACAACCACGCCACAACACAGAGCACTGCATTAGTACTATTAGATCCCGGCACGTCGCACAAAGCAACTCACCTGTGCGTCCTAAGGACACCAAGACGCTCTTGCACTACTAAACAACCACGCCACAACACAGAGCACTGCATTAGTACTATTAGGGCTCGGCACGTCGCACAGAACAACTCACCTGCGCGTCCTCAGGACACCAAGACGCCCTCGCACTAATAAATCATAACACAGATCCCCATGGCAGTACATGATAGCATATGGGCCCGGCACATCGCACATACCAGCTCACCTGTGCGTCCTAAGGACGCCAAGACGCTCCCGTACTACTAAAACATAACAGATCTCCATGTCAGTATAGGATACCATGTTAGCCCTCGAACATCGCACAGCACAGCCCATCTGTGCGCCCTAAGCACTGGCACCAATGCTCGTTCGCGCCAAAACTTGTGCGCCCCACGCTGCTCGTTACTTTTGTAGGAATGTGAAAATTTTACAAAAATATTTAACGTCGCTTGATTTATAATTTTTTGGCCAAGTTAAATGCCACTAATGTGAATATGATTGGTCAAAATATACGAAATGGGGCAGAATGCCCTGTTTGGCACGCCGTTTTCACACCCCGTAATGATAAATTTGTCAGAGAGGGCATTTTGCCCCCTTGACCGCGAAAGGGTTAATGTCATTTTCATGTTAAAGTACTGATCGCAATATTGAATAAAACGAACAGCCTGTCTTAGTATTTGCAGAGAGACAACGTTGATATCGTATCGGCTGTTAACATGGTTAAATTATTGCGTAAAGAGCTGTAAAATGTGCGTGACAAGAACAATACGAGTACAGAGCCCGACCGTACTGAGGCTGTGTGGAATTCGGCAGTTAGTTTTTGAAAGAAGTTTCAAGTGAAAGATCTTCCTATTATCCCAAAAAGCACATTATTGTGGGAAAGGAGAGGAATTAGAAGTCGGGGTCGTGGACGACCAGGTATTTCAGGTGCAGATACCTGCCGCGGCTCCAATTTCCCTACGCAAGAATATCACTACCAGAACGGTGTTTTGTGGCTGTCATTAAAGATATTTTCTCTGAATTGGAATCTTGCTTCAATGACGAAGCTTTGAGTTTATTGAAATTAAGTGGTTCTCTGTCCCCAAGGCGAAAGTTTTCGAACTGTAATGTCGAAAATGTCGTTCTATTGGCTACAACGTTTTATCACGGCGATGGCAAAGCATAATTAGAAGACTTGAGAGAGGAAGCTACGCGCTTCTACGAGCTAACCAAGACCGACAAAACATTGCAGAACTTGAAGATTACGGAAGAGCTGTGTACTAAGCCAGTATTATACCGGTTTATCTGCTTAGTCTGCGTACTTCCTGTTCCCACCGCAAGTACCAAGCCCTCCTTTTCAGCCATGAAGAGAATAAAATGCGACTTTGATCTATCATCGGCGACCAATGGCTATCGAGCCTGATGCTTCTAGCTGTCGAAAGAGATCTTACCAACCCAACTGACAAAGACGCAGCTCTCGACACACATTCAGCTCTACGACGGTAAGATGTATTCCTCTGTTGTCCAGCTTTCAGACTCGTATGAAGCTCTTAAAAAAGTAATTAATTTTTTTTAACCCCTCCGTTACCAGAAAATCCGAGCTGGAACCGCCTAATATAAGTCGTAACTTACGACTTTGTTTTTATATTACTATTTGTATGTGCGTGTTTTGTCCACGTCAATATCTCCTCGATTTCCGCTACTAACTCCCAAATGTTTTTGAAATCTAAGTCGTAAGTGTTACGATCAAATCATAATTCAGAAAGCCAAAACTTACGACTTCCAGACTGCAACGCACATTTTTTTGTTAGCCCCAGATCCATCCTTGCTAATCCATACAGATCCGGGCGCATCTAAAATTGTACAAAGATCAAGTAAATGCAGTGCTACCTAATCCATTTATACGATTTCTGACTGTAGAACATTCTGGTCGACAAGCTCTTCCGCCTCATTATCAGCGTCGCCATCTTGATAAATCAACTCTTGTCGCGTGGGCTTACGTGCACCCACCTTGGCTGAGCGCCGCAAGACGACGCGTTCTCTGAGGGATGGTGGAATGGAGATGCCACTCTCGAAGGCTTCATGCCAAATTTGGTAGCATGTCTTTCGTACACCCCCGTAACAATGCCGCGACTTGGGGCACAGGAAGCTCTTCGCACCAGGCTGTGAACAGTCTTCACAGTGGTAAGTGGTCTTAAATGACTTCTTTCGTTCGCCGCGGAGAAAGAGCGTAAGCTTTACAGGAACGTTGACGGCGTTTCCGGACGCCTGATACGATGACCTAGTCGTCAAACTGCACATGCGCGTGACCATCAAGTCGGCGGCGCTTTCTGGAGCGCGCCATAGGAGAAGGAGTAGGAGCAGAGGCGTCGACAAAGCTGTCTGCCGTGAGCTGCAGTAGTTGTTTGTGCAGGAGGATATACCAGTCTCCACGGTCTTTAGGAAAGAGTCGCTTGAGCCGATACGTTTCCTTCTGTGTGAGGTATGCATTCACCAGTGTCATGTCTACCAAACCAATAAACAGTGATTTGTAGTATTTCGGAATCGGAACGCTGTCTGAATCAAATACGACTGGATGGGCGGAGTTGATCATGGACATCAACTCCGCCCATCCAGCGTTGATAGTCGGAAACGAGCTTCGGGCACTTAAATCTTGACGGTCCTACCATCTTGATATTTCTATGGATTGAGTCTCCTACCATGATCGAGCCCGTTGCTAGGTAGTGTACCGGTTTCCTGTCCCACCAATGACAGGCAATCATGGTCGGAATAGCATCTGACCGCGAGAACGCGAAAGATCCCCGTTCTATAGCACGCGGTCTTGTTTTGCGTTTCTCAATGACTTGCTTATCAAACCCCAGTCGGTTAATCATGACCGCCCCTAGCACGTAGACCGACATCGATAGAAGTTGCATGGCCAGCGGTATCGAGAAATAGAACCGGTCGGTTACAGCTAATTGAAATCCCAGAGATGCTCCACTCAGAACAGCCTTCATGTTTCGTTTCACTGCTGCTGCCCCCGTCTTGTTGTCGACCTCGTGTTGGTCCATATCTTCGGTATCTCGCTTTCCGACGTAGCCCTCAAAGCTGTAGTCGCAAGTTACGACATGGAACAAATCAAATAAGAAATTAATGCCAAAAGTTACGGCATAAAAAAACTCACCGATGACAGTACGCACTCTTGGAATCGCACACCATGAAAATTTTTGCTCCGTAGCGGTAAGGCTTGTCGGGCATGAGCATCCGTGTTGTGTTTCGCTTCGATGTCGACGGTAGAACGCCTTCATCAAAGGAGAACGTGCTACCAAGTGTCCAACCCGAGCAAAAACGAGACTGCAACACGTTCACAACCGGCCTCAACTCCCACATCTTATCGCGAACGCGCGGGGCCTCATTATTCACGACGTGAAAGTCGCGAAGATCGAAGTGCACCGGTTGCGTGCCATAAACTTGCCACAGCTACCGGCTGATAGGGCGTCATCATCGGCCATCGCCCAATGTCGTGAGAAACGCCGCGTCATCGGGTTCAGCATTCTTGCCACTAAAAGCCCCATTAGATGTAAGATCGCATGTGTTTGGTACGCAGGCTCGGCACGAAGACGCCTTTCAATCTGCTTGATAGTTGCTGGCGTCGCAGCATGACGCTTTCGTTGTTTTGTTCGAATTCGCTTTACTCTGGCGTGTGCAGTGTGTCGCTTGTAGCGTTTGGTCTCCTTCGTAATACTAACCCACAGTGACTTCGGCAGCTAATAGAAAAATAGCAGGATCGGCGAGTCTGCGATGGCTTGGATCTCTGGCGTAGGGGTAGCAACATCAGTAGACAGATGCGCATATGCTTCACGATCACGTTCGAGCTCGGACGAGTGTGCACGCCACGAGAATTGCCGAAGCGCGTTCTTGTCGATATCTTCCAGGGTAAGCTTTCCACCCATCGCCTTCACAAAGGCATCGTCCATTAGGCCGACATCTTCGTCAGGTTCCAGTGATTCGTCGATATGTTCGCGCCGCTCAATGACCTCATCTCCACTATTATCGCTGTTGTCACTACCGCTCGAATTGATGGCCTCATAGGCGTCCGACACTTCTTCTTCCGCCTTGATGTTCACGTCGTCATCCGCTACGGCAACGCGGTCATCCGGAGCGTCCTCCACACTCGCATAATCATCCACACTGGCACCGTCGCTCGCGTTACCATTATCAGAGTCGTTAGACTTAGCGCCCGACAAGAGGCGCTGAAAGGCACCGACGACCAGCTCGAGATCTGCCTGGTCCAGACGATCCGACTGGGAGCTGCTATCCGATCCGAGCATCGCTTGTATTGTGTTGGCTGATAGCGCAATGGACGTGTCGATCTGCGACTCCGTCACCGAATCGCTCGCTGGCAAGCCCTCATCGACACTCGCATCCCCCCACTCTCGCTACTCTCTTCTCCAAGAAGCCCCGACGCCATCGCAAACGTCACTACTGCATCTCAGTCTACAATAACAATTTATTTAGATACCTGTGTTGTGCTTCGTTCATACGCTGCGTACCGACAAGCGAGATCCCGGTCGGTGACGTATACGTCCACTCCTTCACGATTCCGGAGCCTGACGGCCTCTTCGATGTCCACCCCACTCCACGGAGCTGCCGCACAGATGCTTGAAGTCGACCGCTCGAACCCCAAGCGTGTCTTGAGCTGGCTCTCGTACTGGATCGTACTCTTGCCATTGTGGCAAATTCTGGAATAAGACACCGCTGCTTCGAGTCGGCAGCCTCGACCACTCATCCAAGTGTCCGGACTGACCAGATTGCTGCAGCACATCTACCCTTCCCCCACCCTTTCTTTGACTTTTCTTTTTTTACCTCTTCTAGCTTGTATTTTTTGGCAGCAAAAAATGACTTGATCAAAGTATCGTGTCCACTTTGTTCGAGCCATTTTCTATCTAGGGATCCCAGTAACGTCGTAACTTACGACTTGTGCCCTCCATGAAGTCGTAAGTTACGACGTTGGTAACGGAGGGGTTAAATATACGATTCTTTTTATAAATTACCCTATTGCTGCCGGAAGTTTACTTGGATTTTGTACGGTAATTATCCAACAGCAAAATGTAAAACATGCATAATATAAACCCAGCATATATTGTATACTGTGTTTTACTCCGCACCCCGCGGCATATTATATCATATTGCTTGGGCTTACCAATATTATTGCAAATATTATGGCAAAACCAAGTAATATGCTTGGTTTTCCGCAAACGACATGATTCGTTCAAAATAAAGTCCTCGCATTTTGGTTGAGTAAAACGTGTCTAACTAAGAATATTGCACGGTTTTAGTGGCAACGGCAGCAGTAGGATTAAAAAAAATTAAAGAAAATGCCCCCCCTCCCCCATTTTAAGACTGGCTCCGCACCTGTGTGAAACTGCAATGGAGTATCGCACCTAATAAAAAAACGTAGATGACAATCATTTCTAGATATAACAACGATAGAGCTTACGGTCTTTTTGTGTGTTTCGTTGAGGAGTGTGCCAGACTAAAATTTACTCCAGACTAGCTACAGGCTTTGGTACATACATATTATAGGTTGTTTCGCTGGTCGCTGGCTACTGACATATTTAATTAATTACAGGGTTTTTTTACGGCCACTTTGTTGTCGTAGGCTACACTTATTCGCAGTTCGAAGAACTGTGCTAGAGCTTTGCCATCGTCATCCTGCAACATTTAAATCCGAGCAGCTAAACTTAGGCTCAGAAGTTGCAGAAAATGTAGACACATCCGTAACGATAACGGAATAAAGGTGAAGCTGATAGCTAAAACCGATAACTGACTGGAGCCGGAAAAATAACAAACATCGGAATAGTAGTACCGACACCGGATATCGGAACGTTTTCTCTCTCTCTCTCTCTCTCTCTCTCTCTTTTTTTCTATTTCTCTCTCTCTTTCTCTCTCTCCTCCTCTCTCTCTCTATCTATCTCCTAGCACTTCTATGGATGTTGTTCATAGTGCAGTACCAATATGTCAAATTTTACTGGCCTTTTTAAACGTTTGGAGATGATTCGAGTCACCGCAAAAACAAAACTAGCAGTGATATGTGTTACTTTCGGATAGTCTATCTTTGGGTCGTTGTGTTTACAGATTTTTCCTTTTAACTGTTTTTATAAGCCGGGCCTCGTAGCCGCCAAATACTTCACTGCTCGTAAACATACGTATTACAGTGGATACCGCATGTGCTCAGAAGACGCAAGATAACGACAAACGGATCCTAGCCTATATATCTACCCGCTCTGCGACATACACTACCCCATCTATATTTTGAATAGTAGATTAAACCAAGGGTACGCACCAGCTTCGTCCAAAAAAATGCTACGTACATGTTAAGTTTT